ATTGCTCTGGGTTCGCTTTTACTAAGAGTTGCAGTTGTAATGGAACTTTCAGAGGGATGGTTCAGAGATAATCCTTGAAGCACAAGAAACTTGCGGCTGAAAAAGGAAATATGAAACTGATGGAAAGACTATCTTGGAAAAAATGGAATGAAGAAAGTATATAATTTAGGGAGTCTCCCAATGTAAAAAAGGGAGAAAAGAGCTATGGAAGAAAGGAAAGAAGAGGACACAAGAAAAAAAATGGCTTCCTTGCATGGACTTTAATGATCTGCTACTGGAATGCATATATTTATCTTGCCTCATTTTGCTAGGACCTGCTCTTCCTTTTTATGACTCTAATTCAGTGTCTGGGTTTCCACATGTCTTCTTAGAGGTACAGCCCATTGCCTTTATGGGAGCATTTTACTGAGTATCCACAGACTTCACACAATTAACTTGGAAGGGCTTGAAGTACTACAAAGAAACATATGCCCTGATCATCAACTCAAAGCAGCTTTTTTTGCTTGTTTGTTTTTTGTTTCTCAATATCTTGGGGAGGGAGAAAGAAGGGGCAACTGTCAGAGTGCAAATCCTTGCCAACAGAAAGAATTTTTGTTTTACTCTTTCTGACTTGGGGTATACTACTTTGCTTTAAAAGGTATAGGATGTGTGAGCAGAAAAATGTTAGGTAAAAATGGAAGAGAGACAAATAAATCATTATTCTTCCTTGTAATTCCAAGAGGATTTTAATGGGAAAAAAAAGAATGATAAAATATAATACAGGGCTAGAACATTCTAATGCAAGCATGGTAAAAATGCTTTCAAAATGTTTTGTTGCTCAGTCACTAAGTTGTGTCCTACTCTTCACTACCCCATGGACCATAGCATGCCAGTCCCTCCCCATCCTCCACTTTCCCCTGAGTCTACTCATAGTTATGCTTATTGTGTTGATGACACTATCCAACCATCTCATCCTCATCCTCCATCTTCCCATTCTCCTTTTGCCTTCAATCTTTCCCAGCATCAGGATCTTTTCCAATGAGTCCTCTCTTCTCATTTGATGGCCAAAGTATTTGAGCTTCAGCTGCAGCTTCAAAAGTTGTCCCCTTGAAATCACTACAGTTTACTTTTGAGTAGTAACATTACATTACATCTCTCTTTCCAGTGAGCATTTCATCACATTTTACCTATGCTATATCTAGGATGCTTCTCTGTAATGTAATAGACCAGCCCCTCTTTTATACAAGCTGTCAGTTCTCAAGTCTACCTTGAGAAGCAAGAAGCAAGTAGCTTAAATTACTAGGAAATACAAACCCAAGTCACAAAGGCCACCAGATCCTACCTCTTGCTCAGCACAGGAATGCAAATTAAGATATTCTAAAAAAAATCACTCTACCCTGCAATATTGTTTTCACAGTTTTCAACAGAAGGCCTCAGTCTTTAATTAGAAGAAGATTGCCTCTGAGCATATATATTTTAGGTGTTTACACATGACCTCCTCATATCATTAAGGGTGCAGCCTCAGCTCATTTTTCATGCACACCTAAGCTCAAGCACCTCTATTTAGAATCTGTGCTATCTTTCATTCCTTTATTACTCTAATATCCACTGAGAAAAACAAATGCTTATGCTTTTTTTCATTGTTTTTTAAGTGAATCTAATAAATAAATGTGTATTTCTCCCCCTTCATTATTTGTTTTCATTCTGTGCAGAGTTTTATTGCAACAAGTACAGAACCAATTTTAATAATGAACTGAACACAGGGAGATCTTTGGTTTTCTGTTCTTAACTACTATACTACCACTTCTGGTTCTTTGGTGTTGTTATTCCCAACCACCTGTTTCTCTCCCTCTTTGATCGATGTAGAAATCCTGATTAACCTTCTCTACCAGAAGCACACTACAATATGAGACATAATATAGCCATTCCAATCTCATTTCCTTCACTGAAAAATGAAAGTGATGCTTTTGGGAATAATTCACTTGAGGGAAAGTTCTCCTGCCACTGAAATAGGCTGAAGTAACACAACCTATAAAGACGTTTTAAAAAGTTGCTGACATGCAAATAAAGTTCTATTTCAATATGGGGAACAGTCATTTGTACATGAGTATCATACTCAAATTATTTCTTTACCAAACATACTCTAAAGGGAAAAAAAGAGACAATAATTATAAAACGTAACAGGAGAGAAAAATGGAATGAAAAATTGAGTCTGGGTTATAAAAATAAGTAAGTTTGCTACTTGCAGAAGGCTTATTACATTAATTAAATATTATTACGGGGAATAAGCTGGAGAGGGCGTTCAGTCTGAATCTTTTATATTGCTGGAGGCTGCAATTATTCTGTGATATTAATCTTCTAAAGCATTTTAAATGTTAAAGAGGAAAACACTGGAAATAGGAAATAGTTTCTCCAACTGCACCTCTACAGAGACCCTAACTTTGGGACAACCTAAAACACACATTAGAGGCCCAGACAGCAGTCTCAATTTGTTTCTAAACATGACAGTTCAACAAAAAATGTGGCCATGGAAACTTTAAATAGAACTTAGGGTCAAAGCCAACACGTATCAGCTTAGCAAAATCATGGCTACTCTGAAATGGAAACAAAACCTACCCCCTTTCCTGCCTTACTACCACTATCACCCTCTTTGCTACTTTAATTACTTTTCCCGGGTCTGGCTTCCATTCCGAAAATAGAGGAAAGAAGAATTCCATTCCCACTTCAAAGCCAAACCTGAGCTTGTCTGGCTCAGCTCTTTAGGAAGAGTGTAAATTTCTGTGCAAAATGTTGATAAAAAATCTTGGGCAAGAATAAGATTGTTCTAGTGGTTAAGGCATCAGGCTAGAAAGGGGGATCCCATGAGTTCAAGTTCTATCCTAGCCATGAGAGCCAGTTGAAAGACTTTGGGCCAGTCACTGTCTCTCACCTCACCGAGTTGTTGTTGTGGGGAAAATAGAAGGAAGAAGATGTGTTGTATATGTTCGCTGCCTTCAGTTATTTATAAAAATAATAGAGACAGGAAACAAACAAACAAACAAACAAATAAAACTGGAACGAAATGTGGCAGTTCAAGTCTACATCAGGGGTGTCAAACTGCCAGCCCATGGGCCGGTTGCATCATAGGGAGGCTGCACCCACCCCAGCTCTGACAATGCAAAAAAAAAAAAAGTCGCTATACATTGAGACACATCATGTGACGTGGTGAGTTTGATACCTGTGGTCTATATTGATTGAATGCATGGCCTTAACATGCTGTAGAATCTGCTGCAAGGCACTGGGACCCTATAGCAGGTGCTGAGATTATTTACAGCAGGGGTCCCCAACCCCTAGTCCATGAATTGGCACCAGGCTGCGGTATGCCAGCAACTGGGCCGCGCAAACAAGTGAAGCTCCATCAGCAGGATGCAGGCAGTACATGAAACCATGTCCCTTCCGGGCTGCAGAAAAATCTTTCTCCATAGAACCGGTCCCTGGTGCCCAAAAGGTTGGGGGCCTCTGATTTACAGAATACAAAATATAAAATTGTTTGGAAGCTAACATTACAAACAAAGGCTGATGCTTAACCACCTAAAAGACAAATTAATGAGCGACACTCGATTTGTATTGGGCCACTTTTTCATCTTTTCTGTTCTGCTCAGCAGGAAACACTATCCTTCAATTCTAGAGCCTTATAAATCAGTAAATCTAGTTGCTACCACCAACATATAGCTTACCAGGGAGAATGAGTGGTTACAAAACACTTCTCTATTAGTCCAGACCCACTAATGGGGAAGGGGGGATGGAAATCAATTGGATTTATTGAATATGCATGATCCTTGGGTACAGATGTAGTGACCAGGACTAATGCCTTAGCAATAAAATCAAATTGTGTGAAAGATTTCCCTCAAACAGCAGGACCACTTCTAGTAAATCCTCAGATTTGTGGTATATGAAATTTTAAAGCCTGTTCATGGAAATTAGGCAAACATTTCTTTGAAGCTAACAAATGTCTCCTCTTCTTTCTATGTCCAATGGGGAGAAGGAAAAGATAAATCCTGGAGACTGTTGAACGAGATGAAGAATGAACAAACAGACTTTCAACTACCGGACAAACTTAGATCCTCCACACTGCACAAGACTCATATTGGAAAGGCTTTATTGTGTTCACACAGTCTTTAAAAGACACAACACAAGTCTCCAATGCAAATATCAGGGGCTTTCAGAGGCCCAGGCAAGTTGTATCGTCAAGGGAAAATTGACAATGCGCATAGCAGAACAGCAAACGATCTCCTTAGTTCCACACTGAAGGAGGATTCACATGCAAGGGAATGCACAGAAAGCAGAAGCCAAAACAAGCATCCACACTATTCAAAGTGAGACTTTGATGTTCAAACCAATACCAACTCACCCAGATAAAAACAAGCACACTCTTCCATTTTCTCAGCACATAAGAAGCCTGCAGATAAACTGAATGCACAGGGCCCATGGACAGTTAACACATGATTTCAATTTCCTCTCTGATGTGCAAGTTTCCCTCCTGCAACAAGTGCTTGACTTGAATCATCGTTTCACAACGTTCACAAATGAGAGATGGTACGTTACAGTTATAAGGGCTAAGGAGACACAAATTCAGATTCCTGTTCTGAAGCTCATTCCATAACTTTGGGCCAGTTGTTATCCCATAGCCTGGCCTAGCTTATAAGGCAGTGGTGAAGACATAATAATAGGTGGTATGTATATGTAATGAAAACATATATTAAGAGAATCATACCACATATTGATTTACACCATATACCTATGAATTCATATCTGTTTAAAAGCAGACAGGATTTTTTTTTTACATATCTCTTAGATTGATTTTATTGAAGCAACATAAAAATACTTGGAATTGATAAATAATTTTACAGCATTATGCCAAAAGGCAATTTCACAGACTTTGTAATTATTCTATAGTTCTTCAGAGACAATTTAAATACTTATTTTTCTAAGTTCACAGTTCATGGATATTTTTTCTTTTAAAATGATATCAATTGACTTACCTGGATAGACACCGATGCCTGGCTCTAAATGGCTAGTCCAGGTATTTCTAGAATGAAAAGCCCATGTAAATCCTGTAGACATGTCATGTGTCCAACCACAAAAATCTTCGGGAAGATCAAAGTTGCAATTAAATCCTGTTGGGACCTGGAAATCTTGTAAGAAAACAGTACAATATAAAAATAAGATCAAAGGAAAGCGTGTTGCTATTTAATAGCTAACATAGTTGGCAAATCATAAATGGTTATAGAAATATAAAGTCTTTGCAATATGTGCAAGCATACAAATAGACCAGTGGTTCTCAACCTGTGGGTTGGGACCCCATTTGGGGTCGAACGACCATTTCACGGGGGTCGCCAAACAACGCAGTCCGCCATTTTTTCCCCCTTTTCCTTAGCTGTGCTACTCCCTTTTATTCTATTGGCTTTTGAAAGCCAATAGAATAGACTCTCTTGAATAGAGTCTAATTCTATTGGCTTTCAAAAGCCAATAGGAATTGTCCAGGCTGTCTCTGCCCTGCCGAGCCCGTCAAAAGTCCCATTCTGCAAACGGTGCTGCACCAGTTGAGTAGTCCTCGACTTACGACCGGTTGAGTAGTCCTCGACTTACGACCGGTTGGGGGTCGCGGCATTAAAAAGGTTGATAACCACTGAAATAGACTAAGGGTTCAGATAAATCTGAAATAAAATTTTGGAATTAATTATAAAGAATCATTCCTATGTAAAAATGTTCTTATTTTGAATTTATTTTCAGAAAATATAATAAGGCAAAACTTTAAAAATTGGACACTGGAGGAAACTAAAAATTGCAACTAAATGAGAAAAATACTTTAATTTGACTTACAATTACAGATTAAGCAAAGCATTTTAACATTGGAGATGTTTAAGGATATTTTTGAACAATGGACCCAGAAGTTAATTTTAGTAGTGTCTGTTTCTATAGAAAGATTGTATCTAATGGAATGTAATGGACTCCTGGGGAGCAACGCTCCACTGACAGCCAGATACCCTCATACCAGGATGGCTGGCGGGCAGGGAGGATCACCTAAAAATTGATGGGAAATGGAGGCAGGAGACAAAGAGGGGTTAAAACGGTGAGTGCGAGGTAGGAAGGGAGAGAATAAAGGGTGACTGAAGATGAGAAGGGGAGAAGATGAAGGAGGAGGAAGGAGAATAAAGGGGAACAGGATGATAGCAGAGTGGGAGGAAAAGAGGAGCTGAAAGCAGTGGAAGAATAGCCACTGAGCCAAGTATGTTTCTGTGTGCGTGTGTGTGTGTGAAAGAGAGAGAGAGAGAGAGAGAATGGTTTAGGAAAATGTGAGCAAGATTGAGAAAAGGAGAGGGTGAGGCAGAAGAGATCTACCCACTGATCCTGTGGCCACCATCCCCATGTGGCAAGGGTTACCTGGCGAAATAAAGGTGAGCAAGGCGAGGTTAGCGGAGCTGGACAAACAAGTGTGTAACAGAGCCAGGTGTGGAGTTGAAAACAGTGGAGCCAGACAAGACAGCACGCAATGGAGCCAGGCAAGTGGGACAATAGGCGAGTGGAGCCAAAGCCAGACGAGCCAGACGAGCTGGAGGTGCAACGGAGCCAGATGAGCGGGACGGCAGGCAAACCGAGGCAAGTACAGTGGGACCAGATGATTTTGAGGATGATGGAGACGAGCTGAGCAAGTGGGGCTCGTGGGAGACCGACCAGAAGTGAGCAATTGGCCAGGGCAAGAGACAGTGATAGAGACATTGGGGTGCCAGGCAAAGGACACGAGACAAAGGATGGGACTAAGAGTGGGGAAGAGTCAAATTGCCTGGAAAAGGGCACAGAGGGACCCTTTTGGGGGGCAGATCTATAAGTGGGGACTCATCCGGGTTCGCTCTAGCTTTTTCTCAAAGGAGGAGTGATCAAACCCAGAGACATGAACCAAATAAGTAAAATGGACTCCACTACCATTTCTATTAGTTCAGTAGGCTATTTCAGTGTAGTGACTGATATTCCAAGGGATACTTGGACAGAGAAGGATATTCTACAAGAGGTAGGGCTCTATCCCCAGACCAGAGGGTATTTATTGCGGATATGGTGGAGGACTGGACACCTCTCCCTCCTACCATTATTGGAGTGGAAGAGAAGGATCTCAGCTTGATTTGGGGGTAAGAGCTTCCAGTTAAATGAGGACATAAGGGTGCGGGTGTGGGTGCAGCCAGTGAATGAGGGAGTAGGGACAAAGCCAATTCCTTAACTGAGACATCTGCCCCAAAGGAGAAAGCACACATTCCTATCACATCACAGACAGAGCTTATCAAGGCTATGGAAGACCTTGTGACCATGTGCACTAGGCTGGCAGCAATCACTCAGGGACTGAGTATAGGAAACTACGTGTCTTTTCAGTGATGCAACCTGTGCTAGTGGAGGAAAAATAGTACAAAGCCTGGATGGAACAAGCTATGCAGGCAGTAGAGATATAGGATGTTCCAGAGGCGCAAAAGAAGCAGAAGATCATGGTGAGTCTGAAAGGTCCTGCTGCAGAAGCTGTTAGAAATTTAAAGCTTAGCTGGGGTCATGTATGATTCATGAATACCTATGCATACTGCAGGATAAATTCAGATAAACAAAGACAGTTTCTGGTCTGATGCACCAGTTTGAGCACATGTACTAGAAAAAGGATGAAAGACTATCTGGATATATTAAATGCTTGAATCAGTTATTATATCAGATTGTGTTGAGGAAGGGGATGGGGCCAGCTGAGGTAGATTGGACTAGATGCAACAGATTCTGTGAGGTGCCTCACAGAGAGACTCAGTCTGGATGCAGCTAAGAGCTGTGGGTAAGGCACAGCTTACCTTGGAGTATTCTGAACTCATAGGGAGGGTGAGAGCAGAAGAGGCAATGGAGGATGCAAAGGAAGTGTGGCTGATTCACTGCCAGAATTGCTGCAGGAGCTGAGGTGGTGAGCACTGCAGATGCTGATGCCAGACTTACCGCCTTGGAGAATCACATATCCTGACTGATGGAGGCAATGGCCTCACTGACAGCAAAGGCTGCCTTTACAGTGGAGATGCGACAGAGTCAAAGGAGGGGCGGGTATCTTTGCCCCAGCTGAGAAGTTGCTGAGATCAGTGATTTGTTATCATTGCAGGGGTGAAGGACACTATAGACATAACTGAGACCACACAGACCAAGAAGTCAGACACAGTTGGGAAATTACAGAAGGCCCCAGTGAAGGAGCCATACCCATACCCATACAGTGAAGGAGCCATACCCATCTATGCCAGCTTGCTCCAGTCTTAAGAAAGGCAGACAGCAGAATTGGGCATTGCAACCACAAATGAGGCCCTACCTGGCTGCAGAATCAGTGAGAACACTTTGTTCTTTCTACCTATGAGGATCTAGCGAGGGTAAAGCAGTGAGGCATCGCAACAGGTACCAATAACAGCCTTTGCAAGCTCAGAAGAGCATCCAGACACAAACCATCAGACCAGATGCCTTATTCCTCCTCAACAGAGTCCCTGACACAGAAGGGACACATTATCCACAGAAGGGATATCGACCAATTCCAGGAAACTTGAAGCCATCACTTCCTGGCCCAGAATACAAAGCATGGGCGAGCTGCAATCATTCTTAGGATTTTGCTCCTAATGTCAGTGATTCATGGGGGGGGGAGGGTTGCGAAGATAGTCCATCCTCTCAATTACATATTTAGGAATGAGGAAGCTAAAGCTGTGCCTGGCTCTTTGAATAAGCCCCACCAAAGTTAGGGGCCCAGGAAATCCTGGCAGTCAATACAAGGAGAGTGGACCGTGTGAGTAGGCTTTTTGCCAAATGAAGAGGAGCCCCTATTCTGGCTTATGCAGATCTGACCCTATGAGTTACATGTTGATGCTTATAGGATGACCTTGGTGGGATATTGTATCAAGAACATGATGAGACATTTGAGGCTTGTTGCCTATGCCGGCAGGAACCTCACCTCACTCAAGAAAAGCTATTCCACTCATAAAATAAAATCCCTGATGTCAAAATGGGTGGTGGTGGACAAGCTAAGAGACTATATGGGGCAGAGTTTAAGGTCAAGATCAACAATAAATCTCCTTCGCAGGGCATCAGTGGTTGGCTGTTCTCTCTGCATTCCACTTCAGCCTAAAGTACCAGCCAGAAATGGGGATCAGGGATGCAAATGCCCTATTGAGAAGGCCTTATGACCTAGGGCTGCTGACAAAGAATGGATCAATTGACCCCAGAGGGCATACAAACCCTGTTTCAAGGGTTGAACAGCAGGCTAGAGGAGCAGCAGGGCAGAGGTGATTGGGTTCACCAAATTGTACTATAATCCCAAACAGAGGCCTGGCTGTATTAACCAGGAAGGACCTGAGGAGGAATCAGGGGGAAGACCGTCTTTGCAATCTGGCTTCGAGGGCCCTGGAGAGTGGGGGACAGGAGGCCCTGCTAACCAACTGCCCAAAAGAAACCTGACTATTGCATAACGAATGGAAACAATCATCGTTCCATGGTGGGGTGGTTTACTAGCCCACCCAGACAGTTTCAAGGAAAAATGGCTCTTGAGGAAAAATATAGGAAGGTGGTGCTGGTTGTGTTACATAATGACCATGGACACTTGGGACCAGAGAGGACCTTCAAACTAATGAGATAAAGGCAAAAGTTGAGGACTGTTGTCAGCCCTGACTGTATTGTATTGAGCAACAGACCCTACCCGCCCCACTCCAATGGGTCATCTACAGAGCCAAGAACCCATGGAGCTACTCTGCATTGACTTTCTGTACCTAGAACCAGATACCAATGGGCAGGGGAATGTGCTGGTGGTAACCAACCGCCTCATCCACTATGCATAGGCTTGGAGGAGAGGCAAGTGGACCCTCTCCACAGCAGTTGGAACCCGAGAATGAGCTCCTAGCTCCAGGGACCCCTGAACCTGCTAAACCTTTGGAGGAAGGCCCATTCACCCCAGGTGAGCCCAAAGAGCCAAAAGAAGGGTGATACACCCCCCTCAGAGACTGACAGATGACACTAGGCAGGTCATAGCATGGAGGAGGTGAAGTGGTGAGTTCACTGTTGGTGAACTGTTCACCACTCTTTGGAGGACCAAAGACTCTTGGCTGGGGAAATGTGTAGCAGACCCCCAAGTGACAGCACTCCACTAGTGGTCATATATCCTCATACCGGGGGTGGAGGTATCACTCAGAAATTTGAGGGAAGGAGCAGCATTGACGAAGAGAGGTTAAAAGGGGGAGCACATGGTGGGAAAAGAGAAAACAAAGAGAGACTGAAGAGGAGAAGGGGAGGAGGTGAAGGAGGCAAAAGGAGAATAAAGGGGAATAGGATGATAGCAGAGTGGAGGGAAGAGAGGAGCTGAAAGTAGAGTGCAAGAATAGCAGCCAATCAGAGAGAGAGGGGGAGAGGGAGAGAGAGAGAGAGAGAGAGAGAGAGAGAGAGAGAGAGAGAGAGAGAGAGAGAGAGAGAGAGATTTAAGAAGATATGAGAGAACATGAGAGAAGGAGAGGGGGATACAGGAAGAGACCTACCAGACAACCCCATGGCTGCCATCCCCATGTGGTAAGGGTTACCCAGAGAGGTGAATGGAGGTGAATGAGGCAAGGGCAGCAGAGCCAGGTGTGGCGGTGAGAGCAGCGGAGCTGGACAAACAAGTGCATAATGGAGGCAGGCACAGAGGCGATAGCATGGAGCCAGACAAGGCAGCGCACAACAGAGCCAGGCGGGTGGGGCAATAGGTGTGCAGAGGCACAGCCAGATGAACCAGAGGTGTAGGCAAGCCTGATGGCAGGCGAGCCAAGGCAAGAACAGCAGGACCAGATGAGTCCGAGGATGGTGGAGGTGAGCTGAGTGAGTGGGGCACATATGAAACTAACTGGAAGTGAGCAGTCAGTCTGAGCAACAGACAGCGATAGAGACACTGGGGCGCCAGGCAAAGGACATGAGGCAAAGGACGGGGCTGAGGGTGGGGAAGAGCCAAATTGCCTGGAGAAGGGGACAGAGGAACCTGGACTCTAGTGGCCCTTTCAGGGATAGCGCTACAAAGATGTTATGGAAAAGGAACAAATTCTACCTCGCAAGTTTGAGACAGAGTTGAAAGTCGATTTAAAAATGATACACTACAAGAATGACATGGTAAAAAGAACGTTATTTTGGACCTGCAAAAGAAACTGGCTGATGTCTTAATAATTAAAAAGAAATAACAAATCAACAGAGTGACCTGAATAATTTTCCTATATTGGATTTATAAAAGAAGCTTGTTAAGTTTTGAAGGATTTTATGAGAAGGAACAAAGAAAAACTAAAAAGAAATCCACTTCTATGATATTATTTGAAGGGACTAAAGATCAAGATTATTAGAAGTAAGGAGATGGAATATAAAATGTGTTTATTTGACCAAGGTTAAAAATAGATATGTTGTTATCTCTGGCAATCCTTAATGGAGTTTTACTGACACCCACACTAAAATGACAAGGATTTATAGATTTGTTTGATAAGAGATGGGATATGGAAGGGAATCATATAATTTAAGAGAGGGTGGTAAGTTACTAAATTTGTTTTTATTCGTAATGAAGGGGGAAGTCATTTCTTTATTTATTTTCTTTTTCTTTACTATGTTGGAAGTTAAAAGGCCTGGGATCTGCCACCACACATCTACTTTTAGCAGCCCTCTGAACTGCCGACCAGCCTCAGAATAAACATATAATCCTAACACTTAGACTAGCATCTCACTGGCTCCATCAAAAGGCAGGAATCCCCTCAGGATAAGAAAGATGCCAGATCCCCTCATAATAAATCCACACTTAGGAATTTACATATCTGAGAGTGATCTTCCTTTATGGCAGCAGCCCCCAAACCTTTGGGCACCAGGGACTGGTCCCATGGAGAAAAGCTTATTCTGTGGACCGGAAGGAGTGAAATTTTGCTATTGCCTGCATCCTGCGGATGGGGCTTCATTTGTTTGTGCGGCCCAGTTGCTGGCATACTACGGCCCAGTACCGGTCCATGGACTGGGGGGGAGGGACCCCTGCCTTATGGATTTCATACATACCTCAGAATCAAAGCCCAGGGCAGAAGCACCTCAGTCTGCCCGGGAAGGACAATTGCCTTTTGACAAAGTCAGACACTAAAAGCAGCACATACACAAACCACACCCCTTGAGGTCACACCAAGGACCAGTCCCCCTATAAAACCAAAATCTCTGGACCCCATTTTCTCTGTAGCCTACCCCCCAAACCTCTTTGCTTTGGGAAATAAATGGATCTTGTTTCTCACAATATGTCTAGATTTCATTTTTAATTTGTTCTTGCACCACCCTGGCTTGTGGAACTCCCAAATTATTCTTCGAACAATTATATTTTTATTTTATTCTATTTCCCTTTTCATTTCCCCTTTTTTCTTTCTTTTCTGCACTTCTACTTTTTTGCTTTACTTTTATTTTTTCAATTTATATTGGTTTTTACTGTTGTAAGTATAATTTTAATAAAATTATTTTAAAAACGCAAAGAAAGAAAATAATACATAAATCATATGATTGTTTATTTTGAGGTTAAATATCATAGCTAAATCAAAATAAAAAGAACAGAGGTTATAATTAATGTAATCCATGATGAAGTAGAAATTCATCAATGCACTGTATAATGTTTAGATTACTTGAAATTCTAGGTGAATTTTCCCAAGGCTAACTGCTTATCTGAAAATCAGCATGTCTGAAAGAAGGTTAAGTTGAAACAAGCAGATGCTTCCACACTATTTGAAAAAATGAGGCAGGAGAGGGAGGGAGGGACCATTTTGTCTGAAGCTACTCAAGGTTATTTCTGGATACTTTAGTATGGATATTGCTTAAGTATCCATATATCAAGCAGTTCCCCTGAAACCACTCTTAACATTAAAATAAATCAATGCAATGTTTTGTGAAGTAACTTACTCCTTGCTATTAAATAAGATCAGACTTCTGATCAAGCCTCTCTAGTGTTTGGCCTGTCACTAATAATATCATTTTGCAGTTCTGAGATTTCTTGGTTAAGAATGAAGGAGATGCAAGAACAATCACTTAGCTGCAAACTCTTTACTGACAACAATACAAACAATCCCTATAAGTGGCTTCTAACTCACTGACATCAGAGAATTGTTTATTCTCTTCTAACCAAAGAGATGGAAATATAGGAGGAAATGCGCATATAGTCCTCAACTTACGACCACGACTGACCCCAAAATTTATGTTGCTAAGTGAAACATTTGTTAAGTGAGTTTTGCACCATTTTACATCCTTTCTTGCTACAGCTGTTAGGTGACTAATTGCAGTTCTTAAGTTGTTGTTAAGTGAATCTGGTTTCCCCACTAACTTTGCTTGTCAGAAATTCATGTCTGATCACATGACCCCTGGACACTGCAATTGTCATAAATATGAACCAGTTGCCAAGCATCCAAATCACGTGACAAAGGGTATGCTGCAGGGGCTGTGTGAAAAACGATCATAAGTCACTTTTTTTAGTGTCATTGTAACTTTCAATGGTCACTAAATGAACTGTTGTAAGTTGAGGACTACCTGCATTACATTACATTGCAGGGTCATGAATATCCTTTGAAAGAGGTGCTATGGAATCAAAGGGCGTGGTACATTTTTTCCCCCAAATCCTGAAAGGACACAATCTTCTCTGCTTGAGCTTGGAAAGAGGGGCAGTAACTCTGAGGATTCAAAAAGAACTGCTTCATAATGTTCTCATGTATGATGAAGCACCTCTTTCAAGGGATTTGCAATCCTAACATAAAACACCAGCCACAGGGACAGAGCAAAACAACAGCACAAGTATCTATCACCCCTTGCCATGGAATAGGGGTGCTGCCACTGCTTGTCATTTTGAGATGTTTAGCCTTCCTTGGGAAAAGAAAAGGAGTAGGATACAGTATGGCTATTTACTACTTCATAAGTGGTACCTCAGATATAACATACTAAGCAATGCCAGGCAAGTGGTGAGGTGAGTGATCTTAAGGAAAGCCACTTGGGATGGGATTAACAGGGCAAAAGTGACTTATGGCCCCTTGGATGGAGTATATTCATGCAGTAGACAGTGCTGTGGATGGCTGTTGCCTACAACCTGAATGGGGACAAATGGTGTGAACTGCAATAGAAGAGAGCAGTTTGGTTGGGAAGTGAAAGAGGAATTGCAGGAAAGCAGGCAGCCTGAATACATTAAACCACAGGTTTAATGACATAATGACTCTTAGGGTCCAGAAGAGAAGTAACTCTCTCTTGAAATCAGCATGGTCAGACCATTGGTGAAGATACTCAAGAAATGGTTCATTAAAGAAACTCTGGTATAACTTTTGACTCTCAACAAATTCCCACCAGCCTTCCTAATTATAAAAACATCTGGAAAGCCTTAGATTTTCTATTCCTGACATAAAGGTTCTGAACTGAGGCCTGCTACAATGCCATCTATCTGCTTGTAACTGAGGGTTTCTTCCTCCCCTTGCTGAATAGAGTTTGAAAACTTCGAAGCGACAGTTAAGGTACCTGATTACACAAATTTTTATGTGTGCAGCTCTACCACTCACACACTTCACACATCTTGTGTGAAATTTGATATGTTTTGACTGGCTAAGGAAATACCTCCATTCTCCACACAACCATCACCACAATCTGTTGCCTCTTCATCGATGGAAAACTGAGTGGTCATCTCCTCACTTTTCAATGTAGGCTTCAATGTCTCCGCAGTGGACTTAACATCTGCAATTTAAAGAAAAGAGAAAAGAAAGGACAAATGAATGATCTCACCAGATTCTAGATCAAAGTGAGATAGCAATCATATATGATAGGAAAGAGAATTTTAATTTTCTTCACTTCCTATTTGGTCTCAGCTTGCCTGGATAAATAATAGTAGGCCAGTTCGTTATTGCACAACCATTTACCACTGTTTGAATGATAATCTGGCAGATCCAAAAAGGCTTCAACAAAAAGATCCGGTCCTTAGGAAAGCAAGTGACTACAAATAGCCCCTGACCTGTGACCACAATTGAACCCAAAATTTCCATTGCTAAACACGACAATTGTTAAATGAGTTTTATCCCATTTTATGACATTTCTTGCCTTAGTTATCACTGTCATTAAGTTAGTAACATGGTTATTAAGCGAATCTGGCTTGTCTATCAGCAATATACACCACTTTCTGTCCCCTTTACATAGGACAAGCTGCCCAAACTCCATACAACAGAAGACATGGATACATCAGAAATGGCAATATTCTTAAAGCAATAAGAAAACACTTCTATATCTTACAGCTCAAGAACTTTCAAAGAGAAAAAAATGCAACTGATGATAAATTCATTAATAAATTCAACCATTTTTACAGATTATGAATAGATCAAAGTTTTTGACCAATGACATGTTAACTGTCAAAAATGTTATATCAAACCTGCAACATTATGTAGTTTCACTCTTCTTCTTTCTTTTCATTTCACCCTGTTTCCTTTTTACTCTCTTTCAGCAAAACATAAACCTACTATTTATGGGTTTAAACTATTATTTTTCAAAATAATAAGCTCCTATGATAATGGATTAGTGGTCTTTGTGATGCCACAGGCCTGTTGGTTGTTTTTATAACAATAGACTATCACAGCTGGAAACAAGTCTATTTATTTTTTGTTTATAGCCATTATGTAAATCTGAGGTCATCAGCATATACTAAGGTAAAATATATAATGCTGTCAACTTATAGCTCACTTTTTCTTTCTGATGCATCCTACGCTCTCTTCAAAAATAAAAATGAGCATCTACAGTACATCTCAGTGTTTTATTTGAACTGTACCCACTGCATGAAATGAAGCAGAAGGGATGAGAGGCAGGATCATGAGGAATCAGTGGTTTTTAACCACTTTAACTGCTCATCATGGATGACATTTTGTGAATGAGCAAACTTTTTCCCTTGTGTTAGTTGGGATGCCAACTAACACAAAAAGAACTGTCCAGTATAAATAATTAAATCTTCCATATTTAAAATCTCTCTCTTTTTCAAAGAATTCTTTCTTTCTGAGGCTGTAGAAATACAGTCCATTTCTACCTTTTTATTTTTCTTTTCTCCTCTCCCAAACATTCTGTGTATATAAATATTCTTATTTCAAGATTATATATTGATAGTGTAGATTAGTGGTGGAGAACCTATAGCACGGGTGCCAGAGGTGACACTCAGAGCCCTTTCTGTGGGCACGTGCGCCGTCGCCCCAGTCCTAGGCCTTCAGCTGGGTTTTATAAAACCTTTTTGCTTTAGGCCTCCACTGCCGTGTGCAAAAAAAAAAAAAAAAAAAAAGGTTCAATCAATCAGTCAATTTCAACTTCTCGCGGGGAAAAAAAGATCTTGCAAAGTTGGAATTGATTGATTGAATTTTTTAGTCCCACCCAATGGGCCACACCCAGCCAATGGGCCACACCCACCCGGCACCCGACGATGCATAAGTGGGTTTTGGATTGCAGTTTGGGCACTCGGTCTCTAAAAGGTTCACCATCACTGGTGTAGATTGTTTTCTATGGTAATAAAATCATATAATCTGTAGATGCCATAAAATATTACTGGTTTAATGCTTTGAGGAATGTATTCAAACCCTCATAAAAGTCCCTTTTTTGCAGTGAATATTCTTATTTTGTAACTTCTTATTCTGAAACTTTCAGTAAATGGTTCTGCTAAACTGTTCCTTGCAAACAACTAGCATGCGGAACACACAGGGATATCCAGCAATCAAGAAAGGAAGATTGTGTGGCCAAATGTGTGGATTAACAGAATTCCTGTGTATGCTAAGTAGGCTATATTCATGGATCAACACAACTATCTGGCAGCTGCCCCTAATTTGCTGTCCAAATTTGAAGGTGGAGATTAGTCTACTTTGGATCCCTTGTGTTCATGTGCCTGGTGCTCTTGAAGACTGCCTGTGCTCCCTTCTAAGCTTTCATGTTTCAGAACAGCACTTTGCATCTGATGCAACATAAGGTCGTGGTAACAAAGACCATTAAAACCACAGCTGCATATGATCCATAAGGCAATGGGAAAAGAGGAAAGCAATTATTCATAGATGAGTAATTATGCTGTCTCTCTGAAAACATCATGCGGACAAATACCTTTGCAAATAAGAACCAAGCATAGGAAGTCTGTACTGGAAATCAAATAGAACTTTTTTAAAAAAAAAAAAGGAGGAAAAAAATCCTGCCAGATGAATTTTAACCAAGTAGTGAATTCAAACCCCCAGCAACCAAGTCATGAAATTAATAGAAACGTTCCCTTTTATGTGCAGGATAATAAAGTAATGGGCAAAAGGCAATTAAGTTTCCCACATGCCACAGATATCAATATAGCTCAAGTCCCTTCTGGAGATTGATTTATGGATCCAAAAGAAATAATTCTTTCATCTTTGGGCTTGGTGGTCAACAATTTTTTTTAGACTTGTAGTCTTACTGGTTTTTATTTGAACTGGCAAAGAGATTTACTGCAGCCCTAAGAAAACTGAGGTCAGGAATAATACTTTTTTCTTTCATAAAAGGAGTAAGACACAGAGAAAGCACACACATGCATTCAAATGAGCGAGTGCATAAGAACAGGTCACGCAACACTTCAAATGGCATATCTATGAAGTACAAGAAGATTTCTAAAGTTCTGTGGCTTTTTGTAGACAAGCACATGATTACATTTTGCTGTACAGCTCACCACTCCAGGAAACTCCCTAAGAGTGTCAAAATTAGTTAAAGTCACAAATGAATAAGATCTGCAATAACTTACATTATAAGTACTTGCCCCTTCAATTTAAAGAAAGAAAAGAACGAGGTTGCATTATAGAGAACCATTTTATCCTCTTAAGAAACTTTCTGTGCAATATCATATGCTAGACTCTATAAGACCAGTGTTATCATGAAGCTCATGGATATGATATACCAACACAAGTTCTAAATGAGGAATATCAAATTCTGTTCAAGTAAATAAACAATGAAAAATCAGTTTCTTTGGCAGGAGAGTTACTATTTGGCAGAAATTTGCTCAATCTGTTGAGATCAATCCAGTCAGGTTAGGGTGCTATGTGGGCATATTAGGGAAAGAGAGAGAGGAAGACAGACAGACAGACAGACAGACAGACAGACAGGGAGATTTCATGAGGGTAAAGGTTCATTCTCCAGGCTTGTAGGCTGGTTTACAAACATTTCGTTACCAGGCTATGTAACATCTTCAGGGGAGTTTAGGGGAGAGTTTCATGTTGTAGTCCTCTCTTTGCAATAGAAGCTGGCTGGGCAATTTGGGCCAGTCTCTTTCTTAGCTCTCTAGACTGAGAAATCGAAAAGCATCTATCTACCAATTGGATCAGCATGATAGATTACAGTTCATAATCTTTACTGAAGAGGACTTCATCATGTAGTGGATTTATTTAGACTGATAACACACACACACATTCTGACGTCTTGGTCAAGCTATGAGTACGGGAGTTTGCTACTTGGCAAACCTCTTCTGATTACTTCATGCCATGTCTAAATAGCTGTTCAGCATATGACGCAGTACAAAATAATTCTCAGGCTTTCAACAAAATACTACACAACCTCTGAGCTGTATGATTTATAAGTTGAAATCTGTTATACAGCCATACATCTTCAAGGGTATTAACAGCAGCTTACATGAAAAGAAATTGAACAAAATGGTTATTAAAAATATCTGGGGAACCAAGAAATCCAAAGCTGAACATCAGATGCATTAAACCCTTTTCTTTTGTACTCAAGAGATTTACAGCAGGAACATAAGTTCGAGAGAGATCTTTGAACATGAAAGCCCCATAGTGTGCCTGCATCCTCTGCTGGAGTCATTTAGAAGCTTTGCAGTGTCTTATATGGTCAATAGAGTTGCGCAGATTTCATAGCAGAATAAAGCAAACTTACCACAACAGCAGGGGAGACAACATGTGTTAAGAATGGAACCTATGCAAAAGAGAGTCTCCCTCCTGCCGGGCACTCTATGTACTGCAAGAGGTAGTTGTGGATCCTGTTACAAAGCTGTCAAGCAATTGAAACCAGATGTTTGCAAGTTCAAAGGAGAGAGAACCAGTCACGAGCTAATATTTGTCAATCTTCAGAAGGGAAAAAATGTTGGCAAGACCTTGAAACAAGCCAGCTGTTGACCTAATGTTTCAATTTTTCTTCCTACCAAGTAGCTAGAATGCCAAATGCTCCTGGCCCAAGTTTCTGTAAGAGGTACTTCAGGTCTGAAGGGCTCCAGAAACGGATCACTTAAAGGTCAAACTTGCAAGTCACACCATAAGTGGTCGTTTACTGCATATTTAAATAATTTAACAAGATGTTACTAAGGCAACAAAGAGAAATAAGTACCACCATAACTCACAGTCCTTGAGGGTTAAAAAAAAAAATCAATCTAGCACCAAGTTGCAAAGAAGAATGTGCTTCAAAGAGGTATCCAAAATTGGTTGAAATGTAATCAATTAATGGTTTTATGAAGTGAGATGCAGTAAGGGCAACCGGCAGATAAATGTGGAGACCCTAGACTAGTGTTGTCTAGTCTAGTCTTGTCTAGTCTATTCTGGATCTAGCTTTGGTTTGTCTTTCTTTCAAGTAAAAAAAAAAAAAATCCTAACCTGAAACTGATGATCAGCCTAAGGCTTTATGTAAAGGTTCTAAAAGTAGATTGAAAGGCATTCAGTCAAGTGCTTCCCAGCAAAAGCATTTCTTATGAATAACATTAATGGTATATGATTAGGCTATAGTCTTTCTTCTAGACACCTAACATTTAGATAAAAGACCATTTAATCCAGGGGTGTCAAATTACCGGCCTGCGGACCAGATGCGTCATGCTGAAACCGTGCCCACCCCATTGTCGGCAATGGAAAAAAAATCATGAAACATCGCGACACGTCACATGACGTTGCGAGTTTGACACCCCTGATTTAATCATATGAGCCTCCAATTTGCAGCCTGAAATGATATTAAGCGAGACATAGAAGAAGCCACAGTCCTTGCTGTTTGTATTTCTAAAGTAGTGTGGGCATTTTTGATAGATATTTTTGCCAATTGGGAGTTTATTATACCAGCAGATTTCTTCCATTCTAAAAATGTGTGTATTTATTTATTTATTTAAAAAAATAAAATCTCATTTATTTATTTATTGGTTGGTTGGTTGGTTTATTGGCTATCTCAAGGTAGCATAGATATTTAATGCTGCCAGCTCCCATTTTCCCCTAAGTGACAATCCTGTAAGATAGTCTGAGACTATCAGATATCCTGATTCCTAGACAAAGACAAATGTAATAATGTCAGGCAGGATGTCCAAGTTATATATCAATATTTTATGCAAACTTTCCAAAATTCTTTCTCCAAGTGTAGCTTTCCCTTGCCTTTCCCTCATATATGGATACTCAAGCAATATCATGCCTCTGATAGAGCAGCATGGAAGTTCCCACAATATCTTCCACATTGAGACTACGATTTTTAGGTTTGTGGGTCTCTGTCAAATAAATAAAAACACTCTGTATAGCAAAAAGGGTCAATTTATCAATTTTAACTTAAAATTGTAGATGTGTTATTATTTTCATATATATTTGATAAAGCATGCCGAAGTATCATACAGTTTATTTATTGAAAGGTAGTAACAATCCAGTGAGGGAACTTCTTCTTTGGAAGTTTGTACAGACCAAGCCAATTTATACAAACAAGCTTTTTACAGATGTGGTTTCCAAACAGAAATCAAACCTTTTTTACCAGTGACATCTGGAAAGCAGACTGACTGCTAGATGCATCTTAACAAAATAAAAGAGAAAGTATAATTTTCTAGCTCTAACAGTCAGCAGTAAAAGGATTTAGTTGGTAGTGGTAGCTTGTGCTGTATTTTTTGTCATTTCAGCTAAGCCTGGAAGCTAGAGGGCTAAATCCAGCTGACGGTTTTCATACTTTATGATTACACATCAAAAGGAAGAATAAGCAGTTTCTTTATAAAATCATATGTGTAACATTTTGATTCCTTAGATCGACAGATAATTGGTCTCTCTCTCAAGAATCCTGAAATATAAGAGTTTAACCTTGTGGTACAGATATCTCAAGCTGAGTCTTCCTAGTTCTTGAGATGTTCCTGTTAATTATACTGAAATTCTTCCTAATGTATGCTGCTGGTCATATGAATTAACATAAAGGATCTCACGAAACATAGCATAAAATCAGAGCAAGGCAACAATTAAAACAGACATACAGAGTCATCAGTTTTGAGAATTACATAAAAGTGCAACTCAATTGCCCAGGATGGGTGCAGGTATTAGAATATTATCCCCCACCATTACATATCATTCTTCTTCTCATATACTTTTCATAAACATTCCTTCCCCTTCCTCTCCCCATTTTAAACCCTGATAATATATATGTTCGCTCATATAGATTATTCTACACATGGATACATGCACCCTTTTGCTCCTCTTATTTCATTGGTAGAAATGGGGGACCTTAAAATTTCTTCATGTGCTGAGATTCAGAATGCCTGCTCTCCACAAATAGAAAAGTCCTGACATCAAGCAGTCAGAAGGCGGATATAAATGAGAAGGAAAAACTAAGAAAACTTATCTTCCTTTTTTAATCTGCACCCTGAATGCCATTTGGAAAGAATTTTCTTTTTGCTTTGAGAAAGGTAATACAGAGCTATAGACACTGAATTTATGTCCCCACAGCCTAATAAGTTGTGAAGTTAGGCATACGTTTACAAGAGAAAAGGGTCCGAACATCCATAGCCAGTCATATACAAAACTTGAAGATTGTCCAGAAAGGAGAGTATAAAACAACTTATGAACTCTAGTAGGCTGAGAATAAGCAATGAAAATAGTAAATGTTATCAAAGATATCTTCTATTAAGGATTTTCACAATCAATATTGCCATCCTAAAAACATAAAGCTGAAAGAGAGGTTTGCTATTGTTATGTATTCATGTGAATTACTTAAAATCTGTTGGAAAAGGTCAAACGGCTGCGTCCCTTTAAATCCCAGACTTTCTGTCTACAGACTTGTTAATTTGCATTTAAGCGGGAAAGCCTGCTTTAATTCTATTGGCCGCCGCCTAGCAGTGATCCGTATAAATAGAGGTTCAGCAGCAATTAGTGCTGCTTCTGTTGTTAACTCAATAAAGAGTTGTTGTTTGCTCCAATCGCCTGGTCAATGCCTCACCAATCTCGAAACATAACAGCTATCATCACAGGAATACATACAGAAAACATTTCTACTCATTCTAGGCAGAGCAAGAATTATTCATCAGGAAGAGTGGAGAAAGGAAAATATTTGTGGTGCAATGTCATCAGTTTGGATTCTCACATAGAAATTTTTATTCAGACATTCCCAGGACCAAAATGGCTGAAGGATTCATGACATGAAATAGATTCATAGAGCCCTTACCAGTCCAGTCACACCCAAGGACTTCTAATCGCATCCCGATCCCTGCTGGAGACCATCTTTCTGGGTAAACTCTGATGAACTGTGCAGGAACAGGATCAAACCTTCTAACTTCAGGGGTGTCGTAGTGCATATTCCCTTCAAATATCTTAGAGAAACAAAAGTTAAATAGGACATTCCTTGATTTAGAGCCATAAAAAATAAAACAGATAATAAAAGAAGGCAGCAACTCTTTGGGAAACTGGTTTTTCTTTAAAATTTACCTGAATTTTCTTTTCTACTAAGCAACAACTAGGTCCAGTGTAATGAATTTGGACAACCCAAAAAATGTAACTAGTTATAAAATGACCATTGGAAAGACAGAATAGAAAAATGCTGGAAAATAATAATAATAATAATGGTTTAAACTCGGTCTATTTGAAAAAGGACCTTTTTGTTAGCTTTCAGATAAGGATGTGCTGTTCTCTGCATCCAAATTCAAAAAGGTATTTCAGAGAAGGTTTAGGTGTCAGCAACCTCCTGAAGGAAGTTGCATCTTTCTCTGAGCTCAAAAGCCACCTGTGCAATCTATGGAAAACATGTGTTTGAATTAAGAAAGCACCACAGGGAGCAACAAGGTGCTTCAGAGTATGCATGGCTATTAGCATCTCCTTATCCCACAAGCAGATTTTCTTGGGATTGTATGGCTGCTGTGTGAGCCCAGAAAGCACCAACATAAGTATATATTACTCCAGGGCACCTTTTCAGTTTGAATTCAAAGGGTAGCATTTTCATTAATAGCTTTTCATCAATTGCTGACATATTAGACCAAACCACAGAAGCTTATAATATTTAAGAATGCAAGCTGTCAGTATCACCTTGTCAGCAGATTGCTTTTTATTGAGGTGAAGTAATACCGAAGCTGCTTTTTAAGAATAAATGACAATACATTTATTGAATTTTACCTCTACTAGAGAAAATAAAAGGAAAAACACCCAATACATGTTATACCAAAACTGGCCAAGATTGTCAGAAAACATTTTCTATCTTAAATGCACTAGTGGTTGAACTATCTAGAGAAATTCCAAGAGTCTTTTTCCTGGAAATCTGAAAGATAAATTTTGTTGTCATAAGAGACAAAGTAAATAGTAAACATTTATGTAAACAATATCATCTGCAAAACTACTGGTGAGCCTAGGTTACTTCGATTATAATTCAGTTACATTAGCCAGGAGCAGAAATTTCCTTTATCTTGGATTTTAAGAGATGCAGCACAATATGGATTTTCTTCAGAGACCCTCAGGGAATATATAGTTCAATATGTCCAGCTTCAGCCTATATAAACCAGAGTGTAACAGTGGCTAAGGTTTGAACTAGGCATGGGAAGATAGACATTCATGGGCATCCTCAGCCTGGAAGCTCCCTGGGTGACTGAGCCAGGCTCTCTTTTTCAGCCCAACCTACTTCACAAAGCTGCTGTAGAAATAAATTGGAGGGTGGAGTTCTACAATACTGCCTTGAGCTTCTGGAGGAAAGGCATGTTATAAATTAAACGAAACAAGTTGATGGGCAAGATCTGGTCAAATCTTGGTTATATCATTTCTCAGTACTATGTGACATTACCTGTGAAAAATGAAAGCTGCAAGTCGAGCAAAAAATGACACTTAAGACTGCTAACCACTACAAGATACAAGGATCATATGACCTCTCTACTGAAAGATCTGTACTGGTTGCCAATTGCTTCTGAGCAATTGCATATGTTTCAAAACTTGAATAGCTTTGGACCTGTCTGGCTCACGATGACCTTTTTTGTTATACATTTTGTTATGATCTATAGGATACGTCCTATGGAAGATGCCCCCATGTCATAGGCCCATTTTCCTGCCCCATGGGAAAGAATTTGAAATGCAGTCTCCTAAGGGGTTGTGTTCTGTACTCATTCTCCTAGCATTCAGAAAATCTACAAAGATGTATCTCTTTTACCAGACTTAATTCCAGTTTGCTATATGTTGTGGTTGTTTTTTAAGTTTTGTTAACCACTATAAGTAGAAATATGGTGTAAACCAGTGGTTCTCAACCTCTCTAATGCCGCGACCCCATAATACAGTTCCCCATGTTGTGGTGACCCCAACCACTTATACATCACCGGGTGCCAGGGGTGTGGCCAAAGAAAAGAGGGAAAAAATGGCGGACAGCCTTGTTTGGTGACCCCCGTGAAATGGTCGTTCGACCCCAAATGGGGTCCCGACCCACAGGTTGAGAACCACTGGTGTAAACCAAATAATAAGTGCAAACAAAAAAGTATGTTAGGAGTGGGGTGTAGCCTAATCTCTAACCCGTTTCAAATTCTTATGTGTGTAAATCTTTCTAATGTAGCTTCAGGTTACATACATTTACATCATATTTATATGGTTTGCTAAAATCCTAAACTCTCTGCAGATGTTTCAATTACAGTTTCTAGTTAAAGTAAGAGCAAGATGGGCACATAATCCCACTTTCCTAATTCTCAACTCTTTTATGGATCTTCATACATGGAGCACTTAGATCTCCAAGTAGTAAAGGTAAGAACTGAGAGATCATTCTGATGAACATGCTTAACGATCTCTTTGCAATTGGGACTTCTGAAAATGGGGGTCTTCTGTGCATGCGAAACTTGCAGCCTTGATTTGTTGATCATGACTCACATTCAGTTCAAGGTGCAACAAAAATCCACAAAAAGCCCAACAAATCTCAATCACCCTGTGTGGCATGCTAAAGCATACTTTTTGGTAGATGATTATAGTAATAAGATGATGGGGCTTTTTCACCTTTGGTACAAGCTAAGGCAGTTATTTTCAAATAGATTTGATCTGAAAAGTAATTGAGAGACAGGATATGGTGCTTCAGTTTCAAAATTACCCTTCCTTCCCTCTGTCTCCATCTCATTCCTTCCTCCGCTAGCCAGAGTTTGTGTCCAACTGAAAAGTTCCATGCCTAAGAGCAGGATGCTTTGCCAAGCGGGATGCAGTCCATCTGACAAACCACACAGCGTGCTTTGGCACAGGACGTGCCTCCTCTTAGCTAGATGTTGATCCCAGATATACTGACTCAAATCTGGTACAACTCTACTGACTTCTTGTGTAAACACTACTGTTAATAGTCTTCTTCTCCTTATCCGCCCCACACATTTTTCTATCAAGTTCTAAAAGACACCTCTCTATGATACCATATGTATTAATTCAAAGAATTGGCTAGCAGAAACTTAGACTTCGTGTTTGTCTATGATTTAGAGCCTTGGGCCTCTTGAATTAAGGCTTTTATAGTGGTGCAAAAGTTCATCTCTTAAATCCTTAACAAGTAAGAATGTCATTGGAAAACTTGGAAAAATGAAGCAGGGCCTTCAATAAGAACAACCCAAATATGGGCTCTAAAGCAGGCTATTTTTATCACAAATGGTCTGTACCCTCACCTTCCTCTGAATCATATGGAGAACAATACCCTACTATTCACTGAGGAGATAAAACTGAGATAAGGCAGGATACAGTGAACACCAGGGCTGTGCCAAAAATATTCTTTGCAGAAAGAGTGGCGGTGGTGGGGGAGAAGTAATCAAGACTAAGCCATCTTCTTGCTAAAACGGTAAAGGGAAAAAAGCAAATGTTTCCCCTGTTCAGTCGTGTCCGACTCTAGGGGGCAGCGCTCATCTCAGTTTCTTCTCTGTAGTGGTTCAGTTAAAAAAAAAGATAAAGCACAACTGCCATCATTTCTAACTGGATACTACTTTGCTGTCTGTCTTGTTCTGTCTATCCAAGCCACCAAGATATCCCAATTTCACTTCCTACAATAGCATGATAGAATTGTTGGTGAGGCTTAGGGAGTGCTGGATATGGATGTAATCTCAGGTCTACATTTTCTCTTTTCCCAGTTAACCAGAAAAACACTTGTGGGCCAGGGGGAAAAAAGGGTGACGTCACCCCCACCCCCTGAGATACTGAGTTGAAAGACAAGATTTTTTTTATCCAGCACCTTTGTTGCACAGACTTCCCCAAAAAGCAAACCCTGGACCTGCAATAAAACCCTATTTCAAGACTGGTGATTAGGCAGCCTCATGCACTTTTTGGAAAACCAACAGAAGAGCCCAGGAAAGCAGAGGACCCTGCCTTGTACAGACATTGTGTCTTTTAAACTCTCAACAGAGCATTCCCCAACATTTACTGCTCTGCTCTGCTGGTACTTATTTCTAACATCTATGCACATTAAGTGGTCAATGGTTGCTGTTGGGCGTTTAAAGACACATTCAGCTACGTGTGCCTTCACGTGCAATCTGAAATGAAAAGGCCCATGCGTAAATTTGCCATATGAGGGAAAAGAGGAAGAAGTGAAAAATAGATGACACTTTCCAGTTTCTAAGTGTTCCAGCTTTTCCACTACAAGAAGATGATCCTATTGCTAAATAGGAAGAAAGGAAGGGAGGAAAGAAGGAGGAAGTACATTCGTAGATAAGAGCCTTCCTCCTTCCCACATCCTTTTGAAACATACATTCATCTTAAATGCTTTTATGCTCCTTCAGTCACTTCAGCTTTAAGGAGCTGACGAGACCTATTGCATAGCCACTAATCACCAGAATAGAATAAGGTTATTTTTATTCTGAGACAAGTGTGAAACATATGACTTTGCAGGTAGGCTTGTGGTTTGCACAAGGACCCTTCAAAGTGGATAGACTCTTTCGTGTCTCCTGAAGCAAAGGCTCCCATGGGTGTAAGCAGCCATAATAAATTTCACCAGAAAGGAAGAAGCAATAAAAAGGAAAAAAAGTACCAGTGCCCTGTAGCTCACTGTTACATTCCAGGTAAGAAGTCTTACCTTTGGCTGCATGGTTCGGGGATCTTGAACTGAATGCCAGTCTTTCCCATCCATGCTGTACGCCACTTTAAACTTCTTCACAAAAGCTCGTGCCTCTGCCACATTGATGCTGTCCCCTCCTCGGGCCCCTTGGATAATCACTCCTTTCACGTTCTTAGGGAGGCCCAGGTCTACCTGCAGCCACTCCTCACCAGGCTGGGCTTGAGGGATGCGGGGGAACCATCCTGAGCGGCTGCTGACTAGGCGTGCCACACTAGGAACCCAGTGATATTCTCTGGTAGAAGAAGCTGAGATCTGAGAGTCTGGGATAAGTCCTGAAAGCATCCCCAACATACTGGAACAGGGTGAATCTGTATGAAAAGGAGCAGCAGTAAGCATAGAAATGGGTATTTTGTAAAATCAGCTGAGGGATAAAAATTCTGCAATGATATAGGAAGAATAATGCCTCATTGCAATCAACTTCTAGGTACTGAAGTTGAGTGCAAAAGCCAGCTTTGCTTTGCTTTGCTTTGTAACAGCTTTCATAGGTACCAGTGATGATGTTACCAAGTTTGGGTAATGAAATGTCTGCAAGAAAACAGCCAAGCTCAGAGAGTACCAAGGACACCAGCTTTCATAGGCTTACAATACACCCTACCCCAAAATCCTTAATCCAAACTAGCCTCTGCTTCCAGCTAAACCTTCATCCAGTAATCGCATCCCGATTGCTGTTCCAGCTCTTTTAAAAAATAAATATCATTAAATTCAATCAAATGAGAGATAAACCACAACTGGAGGCCATCCTATTAAACAATTCAAATGATGGCTAGGCTCAACGTTCTCTTTTTACATGTAAATTTATTTGTGGCATGTGAAGCCACAACTAATGGGGTGGGGGGGGGCAGAAGGAAAAGCAATTATATTAGCATCCCAGTGAGACTGCAACATTACTTATCTCATGACCCAGAATTTCCAGATTTCAAAATGTTAGTTGAACTAAGAAGTTGTTTGAGATCTCTTTGCTATGTTAAAAAAAAAAAAAAGAATCAAGATGCAGTGGCTCTACATTCCCAAATCAAGTAAAAATGCTAGAGTGAAAGGTCATTGAATCCCTGATCATTTCATGATTGCAGCCTCAACTCAAGTGATTATTTGCATAGGCCAATTGTTTCTCCTTCTCCTCCAACATTTGTACTGGACAATCATGTTGTGCAAAACCCAGTATCAACTCTGGGCATTTTCCAAACCTCACTTAGTCAGTCCTCCAAGAAAAAGATTAGGAAATGCAAGGGCACTGATAAAAAGCAAGCTTTTCAGTGCTGTCAGTGCTGGGCAGCAAAAACACAAGTACCCCCAAACACTGATTAGCAGCAATGCTTAGTATGACTGCATGTCTGCTTGGAAAGTCCCAATGATGCAATAAAGCCTTGTCAATATTCTCCTGGTACAAAGGCCAAAGGGATACAAAACAGCATTGGAGAACTTGAATACAAATTTTATGTTCTCTAAAATGGTAGCTTTTGAGCCAATTAGGATGATTGTGAGCTGCTTGGTAAAGGAGTGCCTGATGGGGCTAAGATTGTTCTCTTTGTAACGTGGGCCATTTAGGAAGAGAATAAACCCAGTATGCATGTATGTATTGATGGGCTAACGCAAACACAAATTTGTGCATCACCCTAATGAATCTTCAGATTTTAAAAAAAAAAAAATACAATAGCAGCCACTGGGATGGGAATTTTCCCATAGAAAATAAAGCTTTGATGTAGCAATTTGCACTAAGACCATGGCGGATAAAGAAAGCTTTAATACCTCTCTCCCTGATTACCATATGAAATATCATTTCCTTTCTCAGCAGCTGCATTTGCATTTTTTAAAGTATGCAGGTTGAAGAAAAATGCATTTCAAGATAATTTAAGGAGACAAACCCTTGCATGCACTGCCTTTGGAAACTGCAGGAAATCCTTGAGGGGAAAAAAAAGACTTGTAAATTGGGTCCGTATTATGATCCTTTTGGTAAATCTTTCATGCCACACTAGTCAAGTTTCAAGGAGAACCTCCCTCCAGAGATACAGATAGTCCTCAACTTACAATCAGTCACTTAGTGACCAGTCAAAGTTATGACGGACCTCCCCAGGTACTACTTATGACACAAATTCAGTCTGATGGCTTTCCCACCCCCATCCTGTAGTCATGTGACTGCAATTTCCAATGTTTTGTGGGGGGTTTTTTGCCAGAAAATGATTATTTACTTCTGGTTTCAGGCAGCAAATGCTCATTACGGACAATGGATTCGCTTAATGACTGCTGCAAAAAAAGTTCAAAGATCTGTAGTCACATGCAGATCTTCTAAACAACCAACATAACTTACTGTCATTCTGGCATCTATTATGGTCAAAGGGTGAGGACTACCTGTAAAGGGAATGTAGTCAGTGGACTAGGCTGGTTTGGTTTGTTGGGGTTTGGGGCTAAGTGATACCTGTTCCCTTCCCAAAACTGTAATTCTACAGCGTCATGAGATAATCTGAAGTGCCCATCTCAGAACGTTCCCCATTTCTCTGCACAAGAAGCTGCCACGGCTGTGACACCAACAGCAACTAGGCCACAATTTGTAGGGTCAAGCAAAGACAGAAAATGGTTGGTCTTTCTTAGCGACAGAAAGGATACACACCTGTAATTCGGCAGCCGTATAGCTCCAGTCGAAGGGCGATCCCACTATGCCAAACCTGGGGACGGATCCGCACAAACCGAGTCAGCACTGGAGCATGGATTTTGTTGAGAACCACTTCAGAAGCATCGGTGTTTGCCTGAAATACCTGAGAAAGAGACATTCTTAACATTTTACTTCCTCCGTTGCATAAAACTGAGCAAAACAGAAAAGAACAGATAGGAAATATAAGCAACTGGCTATGTAATAAAACAAAACAGAGAAGTAATTACTTTTCCCTTTGAATTCTTTGCCTTGGATAAGAATAATTTTCAATTCTGCACCATGTTTAGGAAAAGGCTTTTTTACTCCTGTGCAATTGGCAGTGCTAAGCTGGATGGGTGAAACTCCCTTCAGTCCTACTATATTGCAACAGTAACATAAAAATACAATTCCAGACAAATCAATTAAATAAGAACTAGCTCTGGTTTTGAACAGACAAATCTGAAGCACATTGGCTTAATTCCCAGAAGTGCAAGATGTTCAAAACCCTCCTAAAATCTAGATCTCATTTGCCTAAAATAGAGCACGCAAACAAAAATAACTTGAACTACAGATTTTGCCCATTCATATTTGAGTTTCAATATTTACAAAGTGGGCGTAAGCAGTAATGATTATTGTCTCCAGCAAATTTTGGCAATGACGATTCAAATCAACAAATTAATAAGTGAAGACTGTTGTTAGTGTACAGTGCTTTGGTTTCTCCCATGGAATTATAATCCCTCCAAGAAAAGATGACAGTCACTTCTTTTCTATGTCCATGTGCAGACAAAAAAAAACAAAAACCATTTTAATAAGATTTTCACTTGATGCAACGTATGTTGCAGAATTATTCAAACAAACTCCTGTCTTACCAGATGGTCATAATCCTTAATTACCATATGGACCATTTCTTCCCTTTTTCTTCTACTTTTTATTAGCTCGGGAAAGTAGCAGCAATTTTTGCTTTATCCTTTGTTTAATACAAAGGCCCCCAAAAACTCTACAATAAATTGTTCCCGTATTGTCTTTTATTACTTCAGTTTATATGCTGCTCCATTTCTAAAAAGTCCAGCAATTTACAATTAACAGCATAGCATTAAAATACAGAAATTTGACGGCATAACCATAAAAGCAAGAAGGCCCTGACATGTCGCATTTGGAGAGCAAAATTCCTAAGTCGCTGTCTACCAAGCCAAGTTCAGGAAGGAGCAGTTCAAATCTCTAGACTAGAGGCAGGCTGTAGAGGTGAGGAGAGAGAATATCACTGAGAGGCATGGGGCCCTTCTAGATCTGATTTGGGACTCCTAAACAGGTGGCTTCTAATAGATCTCGCCAAACAACAAGAGGGCTTTTATTGTTGTTGTCGTTGTTGCTGCTGGTGGTGTTTGCAATATGATCTCTGTGTTCCAAACAATCCACTTTTTACATAATGTTCTCTTATAATTTTTTTTTTTTTTTTGAATATAGGAATCACTACATTTGTATGCCCCTTCAGATGGGCTTAAGGAAAATGCAACCTAAACGAACACTGACTGTAAAGTAAAAGTAAAACAATTTAGAGATTAAGAATCCTGGGATTTCAGGCAAGGCATTGTTTGGAAATCCTATGACATCTCCCTCAGATTCCAGGGGAACTAGGATTAAAGAAATAATGCAGATGTTTCCTCTGTTTGAAACAATTTAGTCTTCTTTGCCAGAACCAATGTATCACGACCGCTGTGACCGCTGTATGAACCTGTGCTCTGCATGAAAGGCAGGGGAGAGCCGTCCTTCTAAACACAGAGCGTGAGAAGAAAGGCGCTGATGCAAAGCCTTGGGCAAAAGGCTAACCCGGTGTAGAGCTAATGCCTCTAACCGTGTACAAGGGCCTCCTTTGGTCACTCGTGAGCACGTGCCCTGGCAAGCATCTCAGCTGAGAGGGGAGTGGCAAAGGTGATGGTGGTGGCGTTCTCTCCCTACCATCAGGTCATGCAGCTTGTGACAGCTGGGGGGTGTGCGGTGGGGGGGGGGAGAAGAACTCAGTGCGACTGAGAACACTCGGACATGACTCGCAATTAACAACAACAAAAGAGTCAGAGCAAGCAGGCAAGGTAGTTAGCATAATTAGCACTTTCTTGCCCTCAGGATAGCAAAATAGTGACACGGTAGCAAAGAATATACTGCTTGTAAATCTGTGCTGATAACTGAGGTTTAGAGTAGAGCAGAAATGCTAAGGCAAAAGATACACCGTAGATCACACTGGCAGCATGACTGATGTGTTTTTAATATGCTATTTTATCCTAACAGACCAACCTTTCCCCTATCTTTCCCTTACTCAGCAGTTACCAGATATCCTTTTCCGCAGGAAATCTGGAAGTATCGGTGTCTGCCGTGAGTGGCTTTCACCTCTGCCAATATCCATATGTATGTGCATGCAGATGTATTTTGATACTGTGGTAAAGCATTCCACGTTGAGTCAACCCACATAAGGTGGCATTGCCGCATGTCATCTAAGAATCCGAGGCAAGGGAGACCCATTAGCCCTACTCCTGTACCCCTATTCCTTGTTCTCTTCTAATCCTTCTTCAACATTTTTGCAACTTCAGCCTCAGCCCTTTCTTTCAGTTCCTCTGAAATAGATTTTAATTCCTTGCCCTTCAGCCACCTTTTCTGCTGACTTATTCCATATGGTGACTTCTCTTTTCTCTGCCTTGCTTCCTTAGTTTTCACACGGAGTTTGATTCAAGCCTCTTTTGTGGTGTGAAAGTTAGGGGGTTGTTCTTATTTGAAGTTGTGTCATGTGCCAATCATTTTAGCAACTTGCATTTTCTCATTTACAAGGGTAGAACAGGATCAGGAAGAATTTTGTGATGGCATCATCTTTTTAAAATCCTTTCTGTATAGCTGATAAATAATCCAAACACTATTTTTTTTCCAAAGGAAAATGTTAACAACCTTCCAGCTCATCACAACTTTAGGCTCAATTCAGTCATTAGACACACTATGTATGATTCAGCCAGGTGCCTAATTCCAAACAGATGTGCAAAGCCTAAGATTCCTCCAGAAACAGCAGGATTTACGTATGTGTAAACTGGCAAAAAAAAAAATATCAAACCAAATGTTCCTAGACAGATTATGCTATTTCAAAGACCATGGAGTTACCTAGGGCTCCAATCACTTCGGAAAAAGAGCATTTTCCTTGCTACTGTACTGAGTGTAAGATCCAAACTGAATTACTTGCTATATTTCTTCCAAGTAAAATTATTACCTCTTAAATCATATACAGTATAAGTATTTTTGTTGTTTTTCCTAATGGTGCCTTTGCCATCGATTATTGCTGCTAAAGGTCCCCAAGACAATGGTACTTCCCCCCCCCCCAAGCTGAAACTACAAATTGCTTCACATATCACTGTCCTTGATGCAGTCCACTCAACTAAGGACACATTTCAGCCGAAGTTTCCCTTAGGTGTTGGAAATTACAGATTTAACCTGCCTGGCACCTGCTCTCCATGTTCAAAAGACCTGTATCAAGTCTTATGGTTAGTAAACCAATCTGCTCACAAGGGACTGGGGTATCAGAGTTGATAGCAAAGTCTACAACTATAATCAAACCACAAATTCCCTTTTTGGTTAAGAATAAACCTGGTACACCCAGGTCCATGCTACTTGTATTTGTGGAGCAAAACACAGAACATGAACAACTGCTGATTTTTGGCTTTTTAAAGTCCCAGTATGCTTAATCAGGCAACTTCCTCCTCTTCCTCCCCCCCATGTCCCCATTCCCTTATAGTTGCGCACAATATTTGTTGGCAGTTTTTCTGGCCCTATGTGAAACTTTGGGAAAAGAGGGAGGGAGGGAGGGGGAGAGAGAGAGAGAGATTGAGATTTCCCTGCAAATGCCTGTGATGGTAAAATGTCTATAGCCCAACATAATTTTCCAGGGGTCTTTCAGCTAAAGCATGGGGGTGAGGGGAATGAGAATCACAGTCACTCCAGGAGGCAGGAAGGGGCTCCTTTCAAAATGAGGATTCAAATGCCTTTAAGAGTAATGCGATGTTTCTTCCTGGAACACTGTACATAAATTGAAATGTGGCTTTTGAAAAAACAACAATTTTGTTATCTGGTGAATTAAATCTTTTTTTCAAAAAAAAATCACAGATTAATGAGGAGATAGGTAGAACATAGATGAGCCCCTCCAATAAAGAGATTGATCCTTCCTCCCCAAATGAGCCACAGGCAGATAAAAATAACCTAGAAATGATATGAATCAATGGTACTGGGGTGTTTCCCCATCACGTCCTCTCCAGCTCACCTTTTCAAAATCAGATAAATTTGATTAATCAGATGCCACACTAATCGGCATAAATTAGGGCGCCAATCAATGTGAGAACTGAAGGCCTCCCTATAGTACTATAAACTCTTTGTTATCCAACAACCACAGGATGGCAGTCAAATTGTAATTCAGAAGCAAATTCATAGTGATCCTCCCCTAGTCCTAGCAGCCATCTTTTCTCCAAGAATGTGATTTATAAGAGCAGCACAGAAGAAATGAGGCAGCGGAGCCCAGGGTGGTCTCCTTTTACACAGCACTGGGGAATCTGAAAATGAGACGTGAATGGCCAGATTGTAATGTGGCAATATTGTCACCTCCAGACTTTTTCATCTTAAGTCTGCTATGAAATACGACGGACTATCATCCAACTCTGCTTGATTGGAATGAGCCTTTCTGAAGGAGAATGTATGAATAACCACAAAGATGCCATCACCTACATTGGGCTGCTAAATCTGATTATCACAGTCTTTATGTTCAAAGCATAAGATATTCGGATTAGCTTCAGGTTTCTATACAAAAATGCAAATAATCTGAAGAAATCAAGCTGTGGTTCTTCCTTCTGAAATCCCTGTTGATTTACTGCAGAGAATATTCTGCACAGGCTTTCATTTTTATTGGAACTAAATGCAAACAGCAAGTTTTTAAAGTCATAAGCAGCACAAAGCAAGATATGCTTTTAAAGGAAAAAAGGCAACATTAAAAGCTTTTAAGAAGTGGCTTTCTTTTTTGTCATCACACACTAGCATAGAATAATTAAACCTCATATTCTTCACAGATATGAAATATTTCATGTCAACAATTCTTTACATATTTAG